AGTTGTCTATAAAGGAATTTTTGCCCTTTTTGTTTATTGTATCAAGAAATTCAAGAATTAAGATCAGTTTTAGAATTAACCACCCAGTTAACTGAACTACAATTACGAGAGCAAGAATTAGAAACTAAAATAGAAATTCCTCCAAAAAAGTAATTTCGTAGCACTTTTAATGAGAATAGTCATCTTGCTGGACCGAGGCAGTGATTTCTTCTTCTATTATTTCCTCCTCCGCTGGTATTTGCCGAGAAGTTTCTCCTAAGTTTTGAGTTATTTCCTCTGCTACTGGCTCTGATGAAGTGCTAGCAATTGTTTCTAATGGAGTGTCAGGAACTTCCTCTATTTGGGTGGTCCCTTTTTTATTTCTGTTGGTTAAATCGAGAAAAAATGTAGATACTTTTTTACTGCTTTTGCTCGGAATATCTTTTAGTTTCTCCTTATGAAATAAATGCCCGTGTTCTTTAAAAACAAAAAACGAATAAATTATTGAAGCAATCGCAACTGCGGCAAAAGATATAGCAGCGGGAATGATAAAAAGTTGTGGATTAGAAACTATGACTGTAAGCGTGTATTGCGTGAGGTCAAAAAAGTTGCATAAACTATATTGTCATCCCGAAATACTGCCAATTTGGTTCGGATTGACTGATTGCTGTAAGAGAACAGTTTCGGAAAGGTCAAACATTCATAAACCAACCCTACTCAAAGCCATTCCCCCAAATAATAAAGCTGAACTGGTTCCTTTGCTAAGCGTTCCGGTCAAAGCTATGGCTAAAACTACTGGAATTAAAGCCAAAGTTTCAGACCATAAAGACCATAATCCAGTGCGAACAACACCAATTCTTCTTGACAAAATTGGCATTAAATAGGTCGCTAAAATCCCCATACCAGCTGCTACTGCTCTCATAATACCTAACAAATAATCTGGATAATCAACTAATTTCAGATAAGAAATCATGACCCCACCAAAGGAAAGAACAGTAAGATACAAGAGAGCTAGGGATAAACTAGCTAGGAAAATTTTATGTCGAGTATAATCCCTAAAAGACACATTTTCCGTCTCGGGCAAAGGCCCGTCCGCTTGATTAGACTCTCGGGGTAGTGCTAATTCTGGCGTTGCAGTGTATACTTTGTGAATAAGGTAGTATTCGGCGATTGCTGAGATTAAGGCTCACGAACCCATAATAATTGCTGATGATTGAGAACCAACAAAAGCCAATACTCCAACGGCAACCGGAGCAACTGCTTTACAAAACAAGTCAATTCTCCGCATCACAGTTAACATTGGCGTAGTATTCCCACCCGAAATAACCATCGTTCAATCCTTCTCAATTGCTATATCATTAGCAGTAGACGACAATTTGAGCAGGCAACCCAAAGACACAATTCCGCTAAACAACAAATTATTTTGGATTGGACTTTGAGAACCATTTCGTAGGAGAACATAAAAGCAAACAGAACTGGCTATTATAGATAACTTTTGTAGCATTAAACTGGTTCTGACAACCGCCAATCTGGGATATTTATCAACTAATTTTCCAACATAAGAACTACCTATTACTGCTACCAAAGTAGTGATAAGTCCATAAAGAGATGGATAAAGTAAAGAATTAGGAAATGCCGCCACCAAAAGTAGAAAAGAAGCAAATTCAAACATTCTACTTATCCATGAAGTTAAAAAATGTGAGGTGTATAATTTAGAGTTTTTCATTTTGTGATGACTGTTTGATGTTTCGTTTACAAAGAGGTAATAGGTGTAAGTTTTTTAAAATTCTTGCCGTGAGAATATTTTTTTTGTTAGAAAGAAAAGAGCAGAAATTAACTACATTATAATTTTAATTTAGTGTACCAACAATAATAAACAAAATATTCTTAGCATACATAGTATTTAAAAGTAAGTAACGCTTGCTCAGTAAATTATTATATTGTTAATTTTAAATTTATATTATTTTATAATATATTTTGTAAAGTTTATACAACCAACTAGCAAAAATAGTTATTAGTAATTCATCCCTAAGTTATGAACGAGGGGCTTCTTGTTAAAGATTAGTTAAAATTAAAAATTAAGTATAAGGAGATATACCCAAGAGGCTGAAGGGGGCAGTTTCGAAAACTGCTAGGCACCTAATAGGTGTGCGAGAGTTCAAATCTCTCTATCTCCGCCAGAAAAAATGACTAACCAAAAAAAGGAAATCAGTGGAGGAATTTCGGAAGCAGACCAAATAAAACTGCGAGAAATGAGAATCAAAGATTAGCCAAAATAAAAGCACTAAAAGAAAATTCTCCAAAAATTATTTTGAACCCAAATTGACAAATCAAAGTGAAACATTTTGACTAATTCTTAATTATTTTAAAAAGTCTTTTAAATGAAAATAAAATAGAGTAATAAACAAAGAAAACGAAGATTATTAACAGAACGAAAAAAGTTAATTTAATTCAAGAAACTTTTTTTTATTAAGTGTTTTCCAAAATAGTAAGCGAAAAATGGTAAAAAAATAATAACTAATACATCCTGAATTAGTAACTTAACAATAACTGTTTTTCTCATTAATTTTTAAATAATTGGGATAAGAGTTGGCAATGTTTTCCAATTGATAGAGCATTAGTCGTAGACATAACTGGCATTCAGGATTGTCATTTTGAAGATAAATACTTATTTCGGCCGAAAGATAGGAGATTTGACAAAATTTTTGGTAATTTTTTTGGAGAAAATTAACTGTCCCGTTAGTAATAGCCGAAATAGCGGCACAAACGATGTCTTGACCCTTTTCGGCATAATTAGCGTGATTTTTGATAACTATATATTCAAAATTATTTTTCTCACCTATTTTATAGAGAATTTCAGTCATTTTAATTCGCTTCATGTTTTAACATAAGTAACTAGTTTGGCTTTTTTATAATTTTGTAGTACTTAATCCTAATTCGATTTATACGAAAAATCATATTTTTAAAAGTAAAATATTAGAATGGCTCGGCTAAACAAATAATTAATCGCTCCAATCAAAATCATTCAACCAAGAGAAATAAAAATTTCGTTCCAGTATAAACAAAATAAAAGTGTTTAGGTCCTTATCTTACTTGTATAGCCCGAGCATCTACTTCTACTAACTGCTTAATTTGGTAATGAGTTTTTTTTGAAAACTCGGGAAACAAAACTGCATAATTAATTTTTTTTCCTATTAATCCGCTAAGGTTTGAAGAGAGAACGATTTAGTCATGGGAAAATTATCGTTAAACTAACGTTCCTATTATAGTAGTTTTCATTTCATACAAATAATTTCTGAAGCGAGAAGGTAGTAAGGTAGTTAGGAAATAAGAAATAAGTAAAAAACACTGTATAAATAAAAAAAGTTTATATAAAATATAAATTGGGAAACCTAAGACTAAGTGAGATTAGACTGTTTGGTTCACCTAGTATTATAAAATAAATATGAAAATAAATGATTTTTTTGAATTATTCTTTGTTATTACTGCTGGAATGTCTATGCCTTTTATAGCCATTGGTAGTTATTTTAATTTTGTTCCTAAGAAAGAGCGTGACAAACCGCTTGCCATATTCTTTTTGATTATTACTATTATTTATGCTTTGGTTTACGCTTATTTTTCCTGAAAAGTTTTGCAAGAGAATCCAACTTGGAAAAGAATTATAAACAAAAAATAATTATATATATGTTTGAAGCAATTAAGCATTGACTAAAAATAACAGGAGATTTTTTACATAACTATATCCAACCGTTTTTGGCTCCTTTTTTCACTATTTTGAATTATTTCAGTTTGACAAAAGGAATAAAAAATACCAATTCAATTTGAATTATATCATTTCTTATCATTACCATTGTTTACTTAATAATAAGTTTAGGATTTGCTATTTATCAAGTGTTAAATAAAGCGGGAATTATTAATAAATAAGGTTTATTTACTTAATTTATATTTTTCCGAGATTTTTTTTAAATCACTATTAGGTTTTAATAAACTTTTAATTGGTTCATAGGTTTTGCGGTGTAAATCGCAAATTCCATAGCGAAAAAGTGCTGCTAAATGGGCTGTATTTGGATAGCCTTTATTACTAAACCAATCGTAGCAAGGATATTTTTTATGTAATTTTTGCATCAGAGCATCCCGGGTTACTTTGGCGATAACGGAAGCAGCAGCGATATTAATTGATTTCCGGTCGCCCCCAACTAGGCTTTGCGTTTCTATCCCCCCAATAGTTATTTCTTCTTTACCATCTACTAAACATAAGTTTGGCTTATTTTTGAGTTCTAAAATGGCTTCTACCATTGCTTCTTGGGTGGCTCCGAGAGGATTCTTTTCCTCAATTTCGCGAGGGCTTTTGAAAATTATTTTGTATTCCAAGGCATTTTTTTTAATTATTCGATAAGCTCTTTTTCTTTGACTAGGACTAAGTATTTTTGAATCTTGAATTAAGGGATTTTGGAAACCAACGGGCAAAATAACAGCGGCTACTACTATGGGTCCAGCCAAAGCTCCTCGTCCGGCTTCATCGACCCCTGCAATTAAAGGGCATTTTTGCCAAATATTTAATTCCCAGTCTAAATTTTTCCGCACAGTTGCAAATATAATAAATTTTTTTCACTTTTAGTTCTGAAGGAAAAACTTTAACTATAGCATTTTTTAAAATTAATGCCAGTTCTCATAGTCAAAAGCACTTTCAAAATACTTTCTCAAATTGTGCTTCTTTAATTCTACTATTCTTCCCTCATTCCTTAAATCTTCCTCATGAACGTGTGGTAAAGAAAACAAAAGATGGCTCTATTTTTCATTAAGGATCGAGGAACGATCCGAAGTTTTCATTTTTTAGTTTTGCAATTGATTGTTCTTCGTGCGATTGAAATTTTCACTCTGTAAATCCTTGTTATTGTTTTATTCTAGATAAAAATTTTGGCAAACCAAAACTTCTAATTTATTTTGTCCTAAAATAAATATGAAAAATTAATATATAGGTTAAGACGAATTGTTGCAAAACTAAAAAATGTGATCTCATCTTGCCAAGAGATTAGGTATTCACTAGTAATTTAGATAACCTTCTCAAAACTTTTTCTTTACCTAATAAATAAATGATTTTGAATAGTTCGGGTCCTTTACTTTTTCCAGTTAATTTCTTTCTAACTGCTGAAAATAATTCTTTTTTTTGTTCTTTATTATTTTGAGAAAGCGAGTACAAAATGTCCTTAATTGAATTTTCTTCTCATCTATCCAGTTTGTTTATTTCCGCTCAAAAATCTTTTAAGTTTACTTTCCTGTTATTTTCTTCGTATTCAGGCAATTCTAGTTCTTGGAAAAAATAAGTAGTTAAGTTGATTAATTCTTGAAAATAATTTAATTGAGGACGAAAAAGGGAAGCGATAGGCTTAACTTGTTTTCTTTTCAAACTATATTTTTTTCCTAAAAATTGCCGAGAATTTTCGACAAATTCATTTTCTTTTAGTTGTTGAATATAGTAATTATTATATCAGTTGAGTTTTTCCAAGGAGTAGACGGCTCCGCGAGCATGAAGGCTTTCTAAATCAAATTCTTTTATCGCCTCTTGTAGAGAAAATATTTCTTGGGTTGTTTTGGGGTGTCAGCCCAAGAAAAGTAAATAATTAACTATTGCCAACGGCAAGTATCCCAATTCTCGTAATTGTCTAATTAACTGAAATTGACTAGTTTCTTTGTCTCTTTTGGAAAGTTTCTTTTTTTCTTTATTAAGGATTAATGAAAAATGTCCGAAAAGAGGTGGCTTTCATTCCAAGGCTTCATATAAAACCAATTGCTTGCCAGTATTAGATAAATGTTCCTCACCCCGCAGAACATGGCTAATTTTCATGTGATAATCATCAATCACACAAGCAAAATTGTAGTTGGGAATGCCGTTTTGCCGAAAAAGCACAAAATCTTCAATATCTTTGCCTTGAAAATTTACTTCCTCCCGCACTAAATCCCGAAAAAAATAATTTCTTTCTTGGGGAACTTTTAAGCGCAATACATGAGGTTTATCTTTTTGAAGGAAAGATTGGACTTCATTTTCGGATAATTTTAAACATTTGCGGGAATACTGGTAATTGCTTTTCTTATTTTTTTTTACATATTCCTCTTTTTCTCAGGCTAACTCTTCGGGTGAGCAAAAACAATAATAAACTTTTTTTTCTTTTAGTAGTTTATCAATATATTTCTGGTAAATATCTAACCGCTGGGTCTGCCGATAGGGGCCATATTCCCTAACTTGAAAAACTGATTCATCTGGTTTTATACCTAATCATGATAAATCTTCATATAAGTTATCAATTAGTTCTTCCTGATTTCTTTTTAGGTCAGTATCCTCAATACGGAGAATAAATTGACCGTGATTTTTTTTGGCAAAAAGATAATTAAAAAGAGCCGTGCGAGCCCCTCCAATGTGTAATTCCCCAGTAGGGCTAGGAGCAAAGCGAGTGCGAACTATCTTCTTTCTATTTTCCCCCATAAGCAGAATTTACAAGTCTTTTGATTTTTTTTAATTTTCGGTAAATTATTCAAATATCTACTGCGGTAAAAACTAAGGGGACAAGATAACTTATAATCATTAAATTTCCATGTTTGGGTGGTTCACTTCCACCACTATCTTTTTTACTGTAAACATAAAAGGTTTTGGCTAGTTCAGCAGTAATCATCATTATCCCAAACTTTTTTAAGGTCTCTTTGCAGTGTTCATTCGATTCAGTAGCCTTAGTGATTATGTAGTCTTTTTCTTCATCTGATATCCCTTCGGCTTTATTAATGGCGTAACACATTTGATTGAAAGGTGATTTTAATAAAGCGGTAACAACTCCATCTAAACAAAATAATAATCCTTGAATGAGAGCCAAAATAATTACAAAAATTGCATTATCTCCGTTTCATCCTCTGCTTTCCGCAAAAAAGGTCGCTGAAAATTA